AAAAAAAAAAAAAAAAAAACGCAGAAGATGCCCCCACAATTGCCAACAGATACTTGAACAAATCTTCCCGGGACTATGCTTGGATTATTTCTGGAAGTTCCTCCTGCGGAGGGACAGAGGCAGGTCCGAGACAAGGCTCGCCGTTGGTCTCGGCGCCCTCCGCGAGCGCGCCACGCCTCTCGGACAGCGCAGCCAGGTCGCCCTTCAGCGCGACGAGCTGCTCAGAGAGCGCTTCCAGCTTGGCGTTGGGCTCGGCGCCGTCCTCCAGAGCGCACAGTCGCTCCGAGAGCGCCTCCACCTCGCCCATGCGCTCGGCACCCTCCTCCAGTGCGCACAGTCGCTCCGACAGCGCACCCAGCTCGCCCTGGGCCGTGCGCTCGCTGCCCTCCTCCAGCGCGCACAGGCGCTGCGAGAGCGCCGCCACCTGGCCCTGAACCTTGGGCTCGGCTCCCTCCTCCAGCCCTCGTAGCCGCGTCGAGAGCTCCTCCAGCTCGCCTTGTCTTATGTTGCTCCCGTCGTACTTAGGGACCACATCCCAGAAATAATTTCGAGCATTCGGAAAAGCAACAAAACGGTGTCTACCCAGCGCGCTGGCGAAGTGTCCAAAGAGTGTCGCCTCCGAGGGCCCGACACATGAAAACCCTCAAGTTCCGGTGCGTTCGTGGCGCTCGAAATTCTAGCTGGTGGTCCAGGCTGCAGTAGGTTGGAACATCATAAGCCTTGACCCTCCTCCAGTCGACGCAGCCGCTTGGATAGCTCCCCCAGCTCGCCCTGCACCTTGGCCTCGTCGCCAGCCTCTCGCCCGCGAGGCGCCCCCGCCCCGCCCTCGGCGAGCTGCCGCTCCACCGCCTCCAGGCGCTGGCCCAGCTCCACGATCTCGGAGCTCTCGGCCTCTCGGGGGGAACGACAGGGGGGGATAGCAAAGGGCAGGGTCGAGAATCAGCTCACGTAGCTGATTTTCCCGGCGTATCGAGGAGTGGGCCCGAAGGCGGGGCCGAGACTAGCTGCATGCAGCAGATTCCGTACCACCCCCCCCTTTCCCCATCCGCCCCTTTCGCTCGGCCCCAGCCTCGAGGTGCTCGGCCATGTGCAGAAGAAGGAAGAACAACATAAGCATGGACTTTTGGCGCTCCGCGCGGACTTCCTGGATCCGCGCTGGCCGCCCCCCTCCCTGGCGCGCGGAGCGCGCCGGAGGGGCGGCGTCCGGGGGCGCCGCCGGGGCGGCCCAGCGCGACTCCGAGAAGCCCGCGCGGAGCGCCAGAAGCTCGTGCTCGTGCTGCTCTCTCTTCTTCGGCATGTGGACCAGCTTGCTCTGCAGCTCCGCGGCGGCCGCGGCCGCGGCGCCGTCGCCCCGCTCGCGCCCCGCCTCCCCGCGGGGCAGCGGCGGCCGGGCGCTGCCGGCCTCCGACGCGGCCGAGGCCTGCGAGGCGCCGCCCCCCGCCCCCCGGGCGGAGTCCAGGCCGCCCTCCACCTCGGAGAGGCGGGCCGCCAGGAGGGCCACCTGGTGGGCCCGTGTTCCACCACCACCACCATGAGCTGGAGAGGGAAAGGGGGGGGAGGAGGAGGAGGAGGAGGAGGAGGAGGAGGAGGAGGAGGAGGAGGAGGAGGAGGAGGAGGAGGAGGAGGAGGAGGAGGAGGACCCCCTCCCCGGGAGTGGTGGTGGAAGACAGGCCCACCACCGCCTGCTGCGACACGGCGCCCAGCCTCGACTCCGCCTCCGCCGCGGCGCGGGCGGGCGAGGGGCTCTCGGCGTGGCGCCGCGCGACCTCGTCCTGGAGCTGCTGGAGCTGCTGCTGCAGCCGGTGCACCTCCGGCCAGGGGCCCAGATGCGAACCCTACCCCTGGCCCTCCCCCCACCGATTTCTGAGGGGTGCGGTGGGTTCACTTCGGCGGGAGCTCCGCTGCGAAGTGAACCACCCTCCCCCTCAGAAATCGTGGGGGGTAGGGGTAGGGTTCGCATGTGGCCCCCTACCAGCAGCATCATCGGAGGTGGACGAACCTCCCTTCGGCAAACCGCCCTATGGTGAGAGCGGCCTGGGACAAAAACCGACGGACCTAGACCAGCAAAAAGGACGGCCGCGACGCCCGCTCGCGAACCGAAAGCGGCCACTTCGCTAATCGACGTGTCAGGGTAAGAGGTCTATCAACCTCCGACATTAAGCAAAAAAACATGAGCAGAAACTTTAGATGGTCCGCGCGGATTGTTTCGATTTGCGCTGGGCCCCCCTTCCCCCTTTTTCGATGTTCGATTTGCGATTTCCGATTTTTTCGAGTAGCGTCCAAGGGCGGCGCCAGAGGCGCCGCCAGGGGGCCCAGCGCGGATCCGAGAAATCTGCGCGGACCTCCGAGTTCTGTCTGGTGTTTACGTAACTCTCCCGCCCCCTGGATCGACGAGCTGAAGAGCGCGGACGAAGAAATCAGAGCGAAATCAGCGCGGAGCGCCGAGAGTTTCTGCTTATGTTGTGTGTTTTCTTCTCCGAGCCTCGCCACGGGGGGCCTGCTGCTCCAGGCAGCTCAGGCGCTCCTTGGCGGCGCGCGCAACGGGGGGGGGAGGGAGTGGGGAGGGCTCCTCAGAAGGAGGCTGCTTCTCAGAAGGCGCCAGCCCTACATCTATAGTTAAAGGCCCGCGCCTTCTAAGAAGCAGGGGTGCTTCTAAGAAGCCCCCCCCCCTCCCCCCCTCCCCCCACCCCACGAGATCCGACGTCGTGACTTTTTGCCAATGCGGGGCCCCTGGAAGTCTCGACCCGAACTCCCCGGGGCCGGCTCCTCTCGACCCGAGCCGTTTTTGTTGACGCTCCCGCGGGCCCGGCGAGGGCCCCCCAGGGGCCGAAAGATCCGCGACACTCCGCCGCCGTGACTTGCTTGCACTGCGCTGGATCTCTGGGCCTCTGCGCGCGGCGGCGCTCCAGCACCCTGCACATCTTCTCCTGCGCCTCCTCCGCGGCGCCCCGTGCCTCCGGCCTCGCCGCCGCGCGCTCGGCGGCCTGCTCCTCGAGCCGGCGCAGGCGCGACCTCACGTCCTCGACGGCCTGCGCGTGGGCCGCCGCCTCCTCTTGGCAGTGGTGATGGGCCTGTTTTCCACCACCACCACCGCCATGAGTTGGAGGGGGGAAGAAGGTGGAGGACGAAGAGGAGGAGGACGAGCAAGAGGAGGAGGAGGACGAGGAGGAGGAGGAGGAGGACCAGTGTAACCCCGCAAGTCATCAACGATGTTTGGATTAACCCTCACTCCAAGCTCCCTCTTCCCAGGCCCCTACAAGGGTTCATCTCCATTGAGAGAACTGCCTCGTTGGAAGACAACCGTTGGAAGATCCTGACGCGTGCCAAAACATGGTTCTCGGGATTTCAACGCCACGTATCAACCTGACTGTTGCGTTTTTGACGATCCGAAATCTTGCCATAACGCAATGTTTGGGATCTCAATGCCGCGAACGAACATAACTGTTGCGACCGCATGATCCTGAATCCTTCCAAAACACTGTTTCTGCTACGTTGGTCACGGGATTCCGTGACACTCTTGCAACTTGTTTAAATGAATGCGCGCGGAGCTAAGGCGAGAGCCACCCTTTGAAAAGGAACCGCCCAAATCCTTGAAACTCTTGCAATTGTTTAAAAAATGCGAGGCGCCAAAGCGAGAGCCACATTTTGAAAACCGCCCTCCCTCGATCCGTGAAGCTCTTGCAAATGTTTAAACCGAATGTGCGCGGCGCTACAGCGAGAACCACATGTTGAAAACCACCCGCCCTCAATCCGTGAAGCCCATGCAATGTGTGCAGAACAAATGTGTGAGGAGCAAAAGCGAGAGCGACATTCTGAACACCACCCGCCCTCAATCCGTGAGACTCCCGCAAATGTTCAAAACGAATGTGCGCGGCGCTAAGGCGAGAACTTTTTAATTTGAAAAGGGACCGCCCTCAATCAGTGAAGCTCTTGCAAATTCTGAAAATGAATATGCGCGGCGATGAGGCGAGAGCCACATTTTGAAAACCACCCGCCCTCCATCTGTGAAACTGCTCATACTTATTAAGTTCCAGAATCACAAATGGTGAGGAAGTCAAGCGAAACGCCCCGCCCGCCCAAAAATTGCTTATAAGGAAAAGGAATGGAGAAGGAGGGGGAGGAGGAGAAGGGCCCCCTCCCCCTCCAACTTCTGGTGGTGGTGGTGCAGGAAAACAAGCCCATCAAACGGGGGCAGCCCCAGACATGATCGAGACAAAAAACAAAAATCCGGACGGGAGGTTTTCGGCTAGTTTTGGCCTCAGGGGGGGCCCTCGCCGGGCCTCGGGGTCGTCCAAAAACGACGCAGGACGAGAAACCGGTCCCGGGGAGTGAGTCGAGGCCTCTGGGAGTCGACGTAGTGAAAGAATCACGACGTCGGGGGTTCTGGGGAAGCAGGTCTTGAAGAAAACGGGCCTCGGGCCCCCAGGGCCTCTCCTCCCAGGGACACTTGCTCATCATCTTTCGGGGGGGCGTAGACATTGATTCGCGATCCATGGAGTTGGAGCGCGGTCCCCACATCCATGGGGAGGTGCCCTCCCCAACATGCGGCCGGTGCCGCCTCGTTCGACGGCAGATCTGCGATTTCGAATGGAAGCGGGACCGTCGCTAATCCACGCCCGCTTGATCCCTGTTTGCCATCGCCTGAATCCTGAGTCAGTCCCGGGGCGCGTAAAGGCGGAGGGCCCCGAGAGCCCGAAAACAACAAAAAACATCGGGACACGTTTCTCTCAGGACCCGCTTCCCCCATGCCCAAAGATCAGATGTCGTGTTTTTCTTCAATACGGGGTCACCGGAAGTCTCGACCCCTTCCGCAGGACGGGTTTCTCATCATGAATCCTTTTTTGACGGCCCCGAGGCCCGGCGAGGGCCCCTGGGGGCCGCAGTCTGCGAAAAACCTCCGTCGTGCTTTTGTCAATGCGTTGCATCTCTGGGCTGCCCCCATGGCGATCCTCTGCCGCGCCGCCCGCGCCGGCGGCCACGCCGCCGCCCCGCCCCAGGGACGCCGCGTCCTCCAGCGACCGCGCCCGCTGCTCCACGTCCGCGAGGCGCCCCAGGAGGCCCCGCAGCAGACCGCCGTCCTCCTCGTGGCGCGGCGCCGGCCTGCCGCCGCTCGGCAGGGCCCGCAGCTCGCGCAGGCCCTCGCGCAGCTCGGCCAGGGCGTCCTCCGTGCCGTCCGCGGCCTCCTGCAAGACCAAGTCAGGACGAAGGTAACACCGGGTGGGGGATCAATATCTATACACATCATGAATTTACACACATAATATATGCTTGTATACGTGAATGTGACTATATGTATGTATATGTATGTATATATGTGTAGGTGTTTTGTATGCAGATATGCTTGCATGCATGCATGTATGTATGCATGCATGCATGTATGTATGTAATTATGTATGGATGTATGCATGCATGTATATATATAACTATGTATGTATGTGTATATATACATCTATATATATATATAGATGAACGTATCGAGAATCTCGGAGATCCGGCTGCACTGGAGGAGGTCTTGGGCGCCGCGGTCCAGAACGCTCCGGAAAGGATCTGCCCACGTCCTTGCCCCGTCCCGTCCTGGACTCGCCGGCGCAGTGCAGCGGCCTCCGCGTCGGCCAGCTGCCGGTCCTGGGAGCGCTGGCCGGCCAGCTCGGACCGCAGGGCCTCCAGCGCCGGCTCGTGCGCCGTCTCCAGCCTGTCGGCGAGGGCGCTGACGCGGGAGAGCTGGTGGTCGACCTTCACGCGGAAGGCGGCCTGCTCCTCCACCTGCCTCATCAACTTCTTCTCCAGCTCGGAGTGGCTCTGCTCCACGGCGTGGAGCGCCTCATCCACGTCGCGCCCCCCCGCGCTCAGGCGCGGACCGCACGCCCCGCTGTCGTCTTCACCCAAGTCCGCGAAGCCTGGCAGGCCCTCGTCCAGCTGAGCCTGGAGGGCCCGGACCAGGTCGTCCAGCTGCTCCTGCTGCTGCTCCAGGGTGCCCAGGCGCGACTCCACGAACCCGTCGTGCTGCACGGCGGCCCCGTGGACGTCCTCCTCGAGCCTGGCCAGGCGCCGCACGGCCTCCTCTGCGGCGTGCTCGGCTCGGCGAAGCCTGGCGGCCTGCCGCTTGCACGCCTCCTCCGCGGTGGAGGCCGCGAGGCGCGCCTGCTGCTCCAGGGCCTGCACCTGCTGCTCCAGCTCGCGGCTGCGCTGCCGCGCGCCCTCGGACCCGCTGGTGCGGCTCCAGAGGCGCTCGTCGAGGCCCTCGACCCGCCTTGCCAGCGACTGCGTCTCCTCGATCAGGCCATCCACCTTGCCCTGCAGCTCGGCCCAGCGCTCTCGCTGCTCGCCGTGCCGGCTGCGGTCTTCGGCGCCCGCATCCAGCCGGCGCTCGACCTGGTGAAGACGCCGCCTGTCGCCCTCGCACTGCTGCTGGAGCCTCTGCACCGTCTGGTGGAACTTCTCGCTCAGCGCCGCCACCTGGTTGCCCACCACCGCTCGCGACGCCGCGACGGGCGACGGCCCGGCGGAGCCGAAGGCCATGGCGTGGCGGTCGCCGGCCTCCCAGGCGCTGCGAGGACTGCTGCACCTGGAGATCCGATGTCGCGATTTTTGTTCGACGCGGGGTCCCCGGAAGTCTCTACCCATCCCCCAGGACGGATTTCTCATCCTGAGCCGTTTTTGGACGCTCCCGAGGCCCGGCGAGGGCCCCTACAGTCGGGGCGTTGACCTAAGGAACCCTAAATAAGGACCGAGGCCCCTTTTGTCCACAAGTTAAACTTCGATTCCCCATCGAAAACCTAAGGAAGGACAACCTAAGGCAAACTGCGAAACAATTAAGGAATACGGAGCCCCTCCCCAACGAAAAGGGTTCCTTGTTCAGCGCCACGACTGTAGAGGGGCCGAACTCTGCGAAAAGCCTCCGTCGTGCTTCTTGCAATGCGCTGGGTCTCTGGGCACCTGGAGTTATTCCTGCTGTCCGCCGCCAGCGCGCCCGTGCCCGGGGCGTCCCGCAGGAGCCTTGAGTCGGGCCTGTCCCCCTACGGGGGGATCTTCGACAACAATAAAACATATTCAAAAAATACTCCAAAATGGCAAAGCAAACAAAAACTGCCAAAAAATCGTGCCCAGACTATTTTTTGACTATTTTTTGATATTCCCCTGTAGAGGGACAGGCCCGACTTCACAGGAGCCCGGCGATGCGGCGCATGTCGAGGGCCAGGGACCGCCGCTGCCCGGGGCTGGCGGACCTCGGGGCCCGGAGGCGCCCGCCCAGCGCGGGGTGCACACCGGGCGCCACCATCTGCCCAGGCCCGGGGGGCCCCCGGCAGTGGCCACCTCGCGGGAGGCGCGGCGAGGCCTCCGCGCGCGCGCGCCCTGGGGTCAGGTCGGGCGCGTCCCCCCTACAGGGGGGAGTTCGGATGAACGAGGATAAGTGCCCAAATAAATTACGCTACCGAGGAACCCCACATACGTAATTTAAATCTTATGTGTTTGCTGCAAATTATCATGGGGCTTTGCGACAGTGTCGTGGGTGGCGGCCGCGCTCAGAGACCCCCTGTGGTGTCGAGAAAGTGCCACGGCTGCTAGGCTTTGCGCCAGTGTCGTGCATAGCGGCCGAGCTGAGAGACCACCCCCTGCGCACCCCCTGTGGTGTCGAGAAAGTGCCACGCCTGCTAGGTTTGCGCCAGTGTCGTGGATGGCGGCCGAGCTGAGAGACCACACCCTGCGCACCCCCTGTGGTGTCGAGAAAGTGCCACGCCTGCTAGCCTTTGCGCCAGTGTCGTGGATAGCGGCCGAGCTGAGAGACCACCCCCTGCGCACCCCCTGTGGTGTCGAGAAAGTGCCACGCCTGCTAGGCTTTGCGCCAGTGTCGTGGATAGCGACCGAGCTGAGAGACCACCCCCTGCGCACCCCCTGTGGTGTCGAGAAGTGCCACGCTTGCTAGGCTTTGCGCCAGTGTCGTGGATAGCGCCGAGCTGAGAGACCACCCCCTGCGCACCCCCTGTGGTGTCGAGAAAGTGCCACGCCTGCTAGGCTTTGCGCCAGTGTCGTGGATGGCGGCCGAGCTGACAGACCACCCGCTGCCCACCCCCCTGGGTGTCGAGAAACTGCCACGCCTGCTAGGCTTTGCGCCAGTGTCGTGGATAGCGGCCGAGCTGAGAGACCACCCCCTGCGCACCCCCTGTGGTGTCGAGAAAGTGCCACGCCTGCTAGGCTTTGCGCCAGTGTCGTGGATAGCGGCCGAGCTGAGAGACCACCCCCTGCCCACCCCCTTTGGTGTCGAGAAGTGCCACGCCTGCTAGGCTTTGCGCCAGTGTCGTGGATAGCGGCCGAGCTGAGAGACCACCCCCTGCGCACCCCCTGTGGTGTCGAGAAAGTGCCACGCCTACTAGGCTTTGCGACAGTGTCGTGGATAGCGACCGAGCTGAGAGACCACCCCCTGCGCACCCCCTGTGGTGTCGAGAAAGTGCCACGCTTGCTAGGCTTTGCGCCAGTGTCGTGGATAGCGGCCGAGCTGAGAGACCACCCCCTCCGCACCCCCTGTGGTGTCGAGAAAGTGCCACGCCTGCTAGCCTTTGCGCCAGTGTCGTGGATAGCGGCCGAGCTGAGAGACCACCCCCTGCGCACCCCCTGTGGTGTCGAGAAAGTGCCACGCCTGCTAGGCTTTGCGCCAGTGTCGTGGATAGCGGCCGAGCTGAGAGACCACCCCCTGCCCACCCCCTGTGGTGTCGAGAAAGTGCCACGCCTGCTAGGCTTTGCGCCAGTGTCGTGGATAGCGGCCGAGCTGAGAGACCACCCCCTGCGCACACCCTGTGGTGTCGAGAAAGTGCCACGCCTGCTAGGCTTTGCGCCAGTGTCGTGGATAGGGACCGCGGTGAGAGACCACCCCCTGCGCACCCCCTGTGGTGTCGAGAAAGTGCCACGCCTGCTAGGCTTTGCGCCAGTGTCGTGGATAGCGGCCGAGCTGAGAGACCACCCCCTGCGCACCCCCTGTGGTGTCGAGAAAGTGCCACGCCTGCTAGCTTTGCGCCAGTGTCGTGGATAGGGACCGCGGTGAGAGACCACCCCCTGCGCACCCCCTGTGGTGTCGAGAAAGTGCCACGCCTGCTAGGCTTTGCGCCAGTGTCGTGGATAGCGGCCGAGCTGAGAGACCACCCCCTGCCCACCCCCTGTGGTGTCGAGAAAGTGCCACGCCTGCTAGGCTTTGCGCCAGTGTCGTGGATAGCGGCCGAGCTGAGAGACCACCCCCTGCCCACCCCCTGTGGTGTCGAGAAAGTGCCACGCCTGCTAGGCTTTGCGCCAGTGTCGTGGATAGCGGCCGAGCTGAGAGACCACCCCCTGCGCACCCCCTGTGGTGTCGAGAAAGTGCCACGCCTGCTAGCTTTGCGCCAGTGTCGTGGATAGCGGCCGAGCTGAGAGACCACCCCCTGCGCACCCCCTGTGGTGTCGAGAAAGTGCCACGCCTGCTAGCCTTTGCGCCAGTGTCGTGGATGGAGCTGAGAGACCACCCCCTGCGCACCCCCTGTGGTGTCGAGAAAGTGCCACGCCTGCTAGGCTTTGCGCCAGTGTCGTGGATAGCGGCCGAGCTGAGAGACCACCCCCTGCCCACCCCCTTTGGTGTCGAGAGAGTGCCACGCCTGCTAGGCTTTGCGCCAGTGTCGTGGATAGGGACCGCGGTGAGAGACCACCCCCTGCGCACCCCCTGTGGTGTCGAGAAAGTGCCACGCCTGCTAGACTTTGCGCCAGTGTCGTGGATAGCGGCCGAGCTGAGAGACCAACCCCTGCGCACCCCCTGTGGTGTCGAGAAAGTGCCACGAGCTGTGCTGTGCTGTGCTGAGCTGAGCCGTGCTGGGCTGTGCTGAGCTGTGCTGAGCTGAGCCGAGCTGTGCTGTGCTGAGCTGAGCTGAGCTGTGCTGTGCTGAGGTGAGTTGGGCTGAGCAGTGCTGTGACGAGGGGGGGAAGAGTGAAGTGTGTGTGTGTGTGAGTGAGGGGAGGAAGAAAGAGAGAGGAGGGCGGGTGTGGGTGAGACGCGGGTGCGGCGCGGCAGGGAAGAAAACCAGAACCCCACGAAGCATGTGGGGAAAAAAAAACCCAAACAGCTCCAAAAATGGTCCCCCAGACTATTTTGTTGACTATTTGTTGTCCCCCTACGGGGGGAATTTGGATGAAAAGTGTAAAAAACAAAAAATGCATCAAAAAGCTCCAAAAATGGTCCCCCAGACGATGGTCTTCGAATATTTTTGAATATTCCTCCAGTAGGGGGACAGGCCCGACCTAACCCTGGGACGCGTCTGCCCCGGCGCGGGGTCACCTCGACGTCGGCTGCCTGGAGCCGAAAGGCTGCGGGACCCGCCGGCTACCGGCGCGCGCCTGAGCCAACGTGCTGCACACAGGGCGTGTTTCTGCACGCACAGCAACTAGGGGTCAAAACAAACACCCCCAGAATAACCACCCCCACACGCGAAGTCGCTTAGTAAACGCGCCCAAAGAAGGAATCAAACAGGGCAGGGCTGTTTAGTAAACGCCCAAAGCCGTTCAATAAACGCCACTTGTCCGGTCCGGGTGTTGTTTTCCTCCCTTGACACCAGCCCCCCAAAGCACCACTGCAAAGCGCGCGTGCACCGCAGCCTCGTAGCAACGGGCGCCATTAGCGGATGTGCCCGCCACAATATCCCCTCCCTGCACCACTGCAACGCGCGCGTACACCGCAGCTTCGTAGCAAGGGGCGCTGTTAGCGCCTGCGCCCGCAATCAACCTTTTGCGAGGGCCGCAGTGCACGCCTGTACCACTCGTGCTCTGCGAGCGTCACAGCGTGCGTACCTGGATCCTTTCAGAACCATAATAACCCACGAGCGCCATGGTATGCGCAACTGTATGCCAGAACCTGCCAGCGCTTCAACAGCATGGGAGCGCCATGACCTGCGAACGCCCACCACAACGGCCTAAGGCCGCCAAAATGATGAAATGTAACGGCTCTCACCGAAGAGGGGTAGACACTAGAAATACGCATTCTGCGCTGTGATCTTAAATATGGTCAAACATGAGAATTGCACCCTGTGCGAGAATGTCCTGCGCACAATGACCCGATTAAGGAAGGGTAAGGGGTATAACCCATCCAATTGCGTCTGCCCCGATCCCGCCCCCACGGGGCAGCAGCAAATCGTGCGGCTGCTGCTCATCGTCCTAATGCCCTTCTGCCCTTCCTCCTGCCTCCGTTGTCCGAACTGTGTGGGAAGGGGTGGGGTGTGGGTGAGGGCTGCTGGTTTGTCTGGAATCACTCTGCTGGTCATGTGAAATGTTCCAATCTGGGGATGTCAACGGGCCCACTGTTGGCTGGATTGGATCGGGTTTCCTCGCATTGCGCCTCAATTGACTTATCCGCCCCCCTCGCACATCGCTCCCCCCCTCCCTGCTCATATGGCCCACCTTCTCATGTTCCTCGTCGTCGCCCTCCTCCCATAGTCCAATAGCCCGTGACCATGCAGAAAACACTGAATGTAATGTCACCAAATCTCTTCGAGGAGTTCATTGGACAAGATATTGCAAAAACCAGTCAAACCCCCCCGCGTATGTCTTGCAGAGGCAGCGTGGAGGCGTCTTGCATTCCATGCTTCCAACGTCGCCGTCCAAGGGCCCAATCGGACGCATAACCGAATACCCCTGAGAATCAAAGAGTGGCCATAATACCGACCAGCTCTGTCTTGGCCCAAGATAACCAACTCTCAGGGACTAGGGACGGGGTCCTTTTATCCAGGGAATATGCCTCTTCTGCCGTCTTGGAGGCCCTGAGAGCTAGCCCGAGAGGCCAGATTCATGAACAACATTATGTCAGAAACATCCTGTGGTGTTGGGTCCGCGTTTGGAATCAGCATTGGCCCGCGTCTCCCACTTCCTCCACCTCCTCCTCCCCCTCCTCCCTCCTCCCTCTCCTCTTCCCTCTGACGTCCGCACGCCCATGTCGGCACGCCTCTCACAAGCCTCGTGGCCCCATAGGGAGCTCCACCGAAAGCCCCAATGGCAGGGTTCGCATGGCGTCGCCTCGCGCCCATTGGCACACCGCTCACACGTTTCGTCGACCCTTCGTGAGATCGACAGTTGTCCCGTGGTGTCCCGTGGTGCCCCGTGGTGTCCCGTTGAGTGAGATCGCTAATGAGATCGATAATGAGATCGATAGAGAGATCGATGTGGTGTCCCGAGGTGTCCCGTGGTGCCCGCCATTACAAGGGCGAAGTCAAGACAAATGATTCTCCCCCGTCCGTCCGTCGGTCCAGCGGTGGCTCGCGGTGTCCCGCGGTGTCCCGAGGTGTCCCGTGGTGTCCCGTGGTGTCCCGTGGTGGTCCGTTGAGTGAGATCGATAGTGAGATCGATAGTGAGATCGAAGCTCCCACTGGCAGGGTTCGAACGGCGCCGCCCCGCCCATCTCGGCACACTCCTTGCACGCTTTCGGGGCCCCATAAGGAGCTCCACCGAAGGCCCCAGTGGCAGGGTTCGCATGGCGTCGCCCCGCGCCTTTCGGCACACTCCTCACACTTTTCGTCGACCCTTAGGAAGCTCCCACTGGCAAGGTTCGCATGGCGCAGCCCTGCACAATTCGGCACACACCTCGCACACTTCGGGCCCCATAAGGAGCTCCACCGAAGACCCCAGTGGCAGGGTTCGCATGGCGTCGCCCCGCGCCTATCGGCACACCCCTCGGAAGCCCCGTCGAAAGCATATCGGCATACACGTTCTGCAGCCCCGTCGGAAGCTCCGCCGAGGGTGCCAAAGGCAGGGTCCACATGGCGCCGCCCTACCATCTGCGGCACACCTCTCACACACTTCGTGGCTCCCAATGGCGGAGCTCGAGGAGGAGGAGGGGGAGGAGGAGAAGGAGGAGGATGGGGAGGAGGAGGGGGAGGAGGAGGAGGAGGAGGAGGAGGAGGAGGAGGAGGGGGAGGATGAGGAGGAGGAGGAGGAGGAGGAGCCTCCTGCGCCCCACCTGCCGTGCGGTACTCACGCTGGCAGACGGCTAGGCCCTTCGCCAAGACGAATGCGTGAAGCTTCCCAGGAGCTCGGCACTTTTCGTTTTCAGAGCACCCAAGGCGGCCCCAAATAAAGGGGCCCAGGGACACACAAAGAACTACGTAACTAACTACACACACAAACATCCCAGGACTGTCTATATTTGCTGGTATTTGCTGGGTTGTCAACTTCCCCCCCACTTCACATAGTTTCCGATATTGCCTGGGGAGTCAACGATTCATTGTGGCTGTGTGTTTCTTCCCCTCCTGATTTCAGAACACCCAGCACGGCCCCAACCTCCAAGATCGCCACAAGACGGCCGCGGGGGCTTGCCCAAGAGGTGCCCAAGACTGGAAACTCGAATTTGCATTGTTCCCTACTTAGGCTCTGCCTAGAGGGTTCTTACTCTCTTAGCTTAAAGGGGCCGGGCAGTGCAAAGCGCCCCGGGCGGTTCCCCGAGTCCCCGCCCCGCGGTTCCCCCAGTCGCGCCCCCTGGGTTCACCCAGCTTAGCTTAGCTAAACTTAGCTTAGCTTAGCTTATCTCAGCTTAGCTTAACTTAGCTTAGCGTTGCCTAGCCTAGCGTGGCTTAGCTTAGCTTAGTTTAGCTTAGCTTATCTCATATTAACTTAACTTAGCTTAGCTTTGTCTAGCCTAGAGTGGATTAGCTTATCTTAGCTGAGCTTCGCTTATATCATCTTAGCTTATCTCATCTTAGCTTAGCTTAGCTTAGCTTAGCTTGGCTTGGCTTAGCTTGACCCAGCTGGGCTTAGCTTAGCTTAGCCTAGTCTAGCTTAGCTTAGCTCAGCTTGTCATGTCTTAGCTTGCCTTAGCTTAGCTTAGCGCAGCGCAGCATTAGCACAGCATAGCATAGCGTAGCATTGCTAATCATAGCGTAGCATAGCATAGCATATCTCAGCATAACATGCCATATCATAGCATAACATAACGCAACATAGCATCGCATAGCATATCATTGCATTGCTTAGCGTGGCACAGCGCAACATAGCATACCATACCATAGCATAGCATACCCTAGCCTAGCCTAGCCTAGCCTAGCCCAGCATAGCATTGCGCAGCATAGCATAGCATAGCATAGCAACATAGCAGACCAGAGCATAGCATAGCATAGCATAGCGCAGCACAGCATCCGCTATTGCTGCTGCTAATGATGCTTTCCTAGAGGCTCCAACTCCTAGGTGGGGTCGCACTGGGATAATTTTAATGCTTTTGAATTTTCCTCCTGTGGATGGACAGGCCCGACTCAGACCTACCAAAGGACCCCAGAAGACATCTAAGAGGCCTCGGGCAGACAAAATCGAATCGGTGGCCGGCTGGATCCGAGGCTACTAGATCCGCCGCCCCCTTTCGCGTGCGGACGGGTGCACGACATGCTGAACGTCAACCGATCCTGTGGGCCCTTCCAAGAGGTCCTCAGGTGCCTCTGGCAGCCCGCCGGCCACCCAGAAAAACCAGAACAAGTGGGAGACAAGGCTTATGATGTTCCGACATACTTTAGCCTGGACCATCAGACAGAATTTCGAGCACCAAGAAAGTACTGAACCTGGAGGGTTTTCACGTGTCGGGCCCTGGGAGGCGATACTCGGTTCGACACTTCGCCAGCGAGTCGGGCAGGCACTGTTACGGTCAGTTTCTGAATGCTCGAAACTATTTCTGGGATGTGGCGCTTAAGAACGATGGGAGCCACATAAGACAAGACTCCTTTCCACCCAAGGTGGCATAAAGAGAGCCCCCGAGATGGCGAAGACTTGCCGGCTCCCGACGACTGGCGCTCGCCCTGATGCACGGCGTGGGGCAGTGAGCTGCTTTGCAAGCTGGCGGGCGAGCTGACTGGGCCGGCTGGCGGGGTGGCCAAGACAACTCGTCTCGACGGTGGCTCCGAGCTCACCTGGCAGTCCCCTGCGTGGGCACTGAAAGCCCGAAATGCGACGACGGTTTGGACGACGGTAAAGGCCTCCTGGATGGGGTCGGAGTAGACGAGGTCGGAGGATCGCGACGCATCGCCGATGATTACATCGACGATGCATGGGCGATACATCGGCGATGCACCGTCGATGCATCGTCGACGTTGACGGGATGCAGATCGGGCTGCACATCTAGCGCATCGCCGATGCATTCGCGACGCGGAACGATCCTCCGAACCACCCAGACCCCCGACAACGTCACAACGTCGACCTCCAGAGGTCTGGACCCCAGGGCGCCCAGGCGCCCCCAAGGAACCGCCAGGAAGCCTCCAAGGAGGTTCCCCAAAAAGACTCCCAAGACGCTCCCAAAACTTCGTGGGGGTTCTTGGGCACCTCTTGGGGGCCTCGTGTAGCCTCTTGGGCACTCTGGAAACGTCTGATCTCGACCTTACCGAAGGCCTCTTCCCGAGAGGGGGGCAGTGTTTCCAGACCCCCGACGCCGTGATTTGTTCGCAATGCCGGCCCCCAGAGGTCTGGACCCCTTCCCCGGGACCGGTGTTTCATCTTGAGCCGCTTTTTGACGGTCCCGAGGCCCAGAAAGGCCACCCGGAGGCCGAACAAAGAGAACAATCGTGATTGTTTCACAGCGCGAGGGGGTTTGGGTTTCTCACCCGCGAAGACGAGGAGACGCCCGCCTCTCCGAGACAAGCGGTGCGGCCAGGGAGGCCAGATCGCACAGCAGCGGTGGGGGGACCGACCCCCTCGGGGACGGTCGGGGCCCCCAAGTGCGGCACCGCCAACACTCGTCAAGCTTCCCGCGTCCGCGCACCCGCGCACCCCCAGAGGTCTGGACCCCCAGGGCGGCTGGAAAGTTTAGAGTCTTACGGTTGCACGTCAAGGTCTAAACTTTCCAGCCGCCCTGCCGCAGCGCCCCGGGAACGTGTATTTTCTACCGTTCTTCGCCCGCTAAAGATGCAGAAGCCTTGCCGTCGAATGCGCGGACGCGGAAAGCTTTTGACGAGTGCTGACGGTGTCGCACATCACTCGGGGAGGACAAAGGTGGGGTTCGGGCAAAGGTGGGGGTTGCCCTGGGACAGGCGCTCCCCGACAGCGAAGGTGGACCCCCTGGGACAGGCGCCCTGGGGTTCGGGCAAAGGTGGGGTTCCTGCGAATTCCTGTGAATTCCGCAGTACGCCAGGCTGCCTGCGAGCACCATTAAAAAAACTGCGAGAACCAAACGATGCCTATGAGCACTCAAGCATGCCTGCAAGTACCACGCTATCCCGCCAACACCGCAGCATGCACTTGAGCACCACAGTGCGCCTGGGTCCAACGGACTGCGGCCACTACGAGGCCGTTGTGCAGGCGTTCGCTCCAGCGGTGTCAGGGGCGCGCTGCGGGGGGGTGGGGGCGTTAATTTGGACGCCCGACATGGGTACGGAAAAAATAAGTACAATGCCCAACAACACATGTTGTCTCAAACCGACAGCGGCCGCTGTTGGGCAGGCGGCCTTCTGTCTCGAATGGACACAGGCCGAGGCGGCGTGGACAGCGAGTCCTGTTCAAAATGATCAGGAACTGCTGTTGGGAATCGTACCGCGTCGCCGCTGCATGGGAGCGGCGGGAACCTGCCGCGCTTCGCCACTGCTTGAGTCACCCCCCTTTGCCACCCGCCCAAGGCCGCACGCAGGCGAGCGGGCCCCCGGCCACACCCGGCCCGCGCCTGATAGATGCCCGCGGGCAGGTCTCTGCGCTGGGCAGCGCGCTGCGAGGAGCACACCTCGGGCGGGGGGGGGCCTCCTCCTCCTCCTCCTCCTTCGCCTCCGTTTCCTCATCCTCCTCCTCCCTCCTCCCCCCTCCTCCTCCTCCTCCTCCTCCTCCTCCTCCTCCTCCTCCTCCTCCTCCTCCTCCTGGGCTTATCAAAAAAAAAACGTCGACCCCTGTCCCAGGTTCCGCGGGGCTTTCGAAGGGGCCAGGCATCTGGGGCCGAATCCCGGGAAACACGAAATGGTGGGGGGTGGGGTGAGCGTGTGCATCCTCGATGACGGTGCGTCCGATCAGCCCCCTGGGGGCGCATCCCCGAGATCCCCTCCTTTCCTGAACGGCTTCTTCTTTTCGTTGAACATTCGGGGGTGGGGAGCAGGAAATCGCCCCTGCGAGGGCTCCCCGTCCTCCCGCGCCCGAAACCTACACGCGCAGGTCTCCCGAGGCCTCCGGGCGCCTGCAGGAGCTTCCAAGGAGGCCCGAGATCCAACGACCTCATACAGCGATGCTCGATCCTCTCCCTCCTCGTCGTCCATCCTCCTTCCTCCCACTCCTCCTCGTCCTCCTCCTCCACATCCTCCTCCTCCTCCTACTGCTACTACTGCTACAACTGATACTACTACTGCTACTACTGCTACTACTGCTGCTACTACTACTACTACTACTACTACTACTAAATACTACTACTACTACTACTACTACTACTACTACTACTACTACTACTACTACTTCTACTACTACTACTACTACTACTACGACTACTAGTACTACTACCACTACTACTACTACTACTACTACTACTACGACTACTGCTGGTACTAATACTACTGCTACTACTACTACTACTACCACCACCACCACCACCACCACCACCACCACCACCACTACTACTACGACTACTACTACTA